TTTCTGTCTTCGACAGCTCCCTTTATATACTGAAAATGAGTATGGGAGTGTCCTTTCAGAACCAATCGACACTTCTCAAAATTTGGTAGAACCTATACTCGCGCTTCCTTTGAGATAAGGCAGCAAGGCTCCGCGTAAGCCCTACTCCCCACTCTACAAGTTTATTCTTAATAAGTAATAGTTGAATTTTAACAATTTGTTATAAAAATTCGGTTTTCCTTAATATCCTTTATGCGAGACGAATTTACTACATTCATATGTTTAAGATTAATTTAACTTTATTTATTAGAAAAAGAAAAAGGGAAAAAAAGAAAAAGATATTCGTTCTCGCATTCAGGAAGGTTTCTATTTTACTGCTAATTACTTAATCGTTAAACGCTAATATAATATACGTTATTATTATATAATGTTAATGTATAATACGCTTTTATATTTGTTATTTTATAGGAGGGCTTCTTTGAGAAAGATCGTGTGATATTCTTAGACATTCTTTCTAGAATATTCTATAGATAATTTTTATGACGCCTAAAAGTACATAACGTGATCTATCTGTTAGAGTTTGAATGTTCAAATAAAGAAACTGGCTATAAAAGAGAAACGGAATTTCCAGTTTCGAAATAAGGAAAATAGGGAAATCTAGCGATAAGATAAAGTAAAGTATAAATTGTATACCTATGACGAATATATTATTCTATAAAGAATAAGGGGATTTTATTGGTATGTAACATATGCATTGCCTTTTAGATGATGTTAATTGAAGCTATGCTTTATCCATCCAGAAATCATCATTATCATCATCTTTGTTATCTTCGTTATCTTTAGGTTTTCTTTTCTTAATATTTTTATCCTTTGCAACAATTACTTCTTTCTTAATTGGTTGAGATTCCTTGCCAGCAGTGTTTTCGACAATCTGTTTCGGAGTTCGATAACAGGCTGAAAGTGCTCTCCAGCGCTATGTCTTCTTCTATTTTACCGTTTTTCAAAGCACGATATTATTTACAAATCACCGGTTTTCGCAATCTGCTTCGCTACCTTCTCACGATCCTTCAGCTTCTTGCTGCTATCCATGTTGTCGAAAGGAAACGTTGCGTAGTTGACGTATCGACAATGGCTAACCACGTTACGGTATCGCATATCATTAAATCCTTTTCTGTATCATACATTTGTGAGCGCACTGTCTTTGTCTATCACTATCCACTTTTGCTGTCAACAGCAGCGATACAATTCGCAGCAATTCTCGTAAGACATGTCGATATTTGCATGGTCATTAAATACATGTTTCAGATTGTACCATCCTTTGAACAGGATCAATAGATTTGCATTATCACATATAAGATGCTTTGGTATCTTTGCATACGCCTGACAGAGATAGAAAGTCGACTAATCACAAAGTACTCTCTGATCGCGTCTTGCTTATCG